CCATTCAACAGGTCCTGGGCAAAAGCTCTTCATCTTTCCAGTTTGTCTTCCCTATTAGCATCTAAGTTCACTGACAGAAGGTAAAACTCATCCTTTCCCCTCCGGCCCCACTCCAGCTCCAGTCAGGGGATCGCCAGAGTAGCTTTGTAAAATGCAAAATGGATTCTGCATGATTGAGGATGAGCTCTTCCCTGAGCCAAGTTCGGGCCCTTTAAAAAACAAAGCTGGTAGGCGGAGGGAAAGAGGACAAAAGGGGTGCTTTTTGATGAGTTTGATGGAAAACAAAAATCAAACCAGTTGCCATGAAGTTGACTCCAACTCTTGGTGACCCCATGTGTGTCAGAGATGAACTGGGCTCTATAGAGTTTCTAATGGCTGATTGTTTTGGAAGTAGATCTCCAGGCCTTTTTTCCAAGGCACCTCTGGGTAGACTCGAATTTCCAACCTTTCATTGACAGCCCAGCACTTTAACAGTTTGCATCACCCAGGGATTCCGAGTTTGATGAAAGGAGAATATAAAACATGGCTGAACTTAACCCTGTGGGAAAGACAGCAAGGACTTTTCTTCGGTGATGTCTAAAGGAGGGGGTGGGTGGGGGGCAGAGTCTCCTCAGAATCAAGAACTGATAGCAGCTCCCAGTGAAACTGACAGAGGCACTGGTGTGGTGGTACCTACAACAGTCAGTCTTCTGTTTGTTGCTTCCTGTTGTTTTTTGATGTGGATCGTGGCATATAATACACTCCTGTGGAAAACCAGAGATGCCAGTGAAATGGCTTTTTTGAAGTTCAGTTTTAAAACAGTCTTTATTTACAGAAGAATTAGCAGAACCAGTGCTAGAAAGCAGTCTTCCCTAACGTAGGTACTTCTGCCATGAGCATGAGTCATTTACCTTGAAGATCAAAGGACAACTAAAAGCAGAGAAATGGAGATAGTGTTGAAGTGATTGCCAAAAATTAAATGGGAAACATGCTTTTATTGGAAGTCCTATGTTCTATTATCAACAGAAAATAAATAGCAAAGATATACGGAGTACAAATTTTCCAAGCAGCCAGTTGCCATCAAGTTGACTTTGACTCATGGTGACCCCATGTGTATCAGAGTAGAACTGTACTCCATAAGATTTTCAGTGTCTGATTTTTTTGAAAGCAGATCGCCAGGCTTTTTTCTAAAATACCTCTGAGTGGACTCAAACTAACAACTTTTCAGTTAGCAGCTGAGCACATTACCCGTTTGTACCACCCAGGGACTCCAGCCAAAGAGTCGAACTACTCAAAACTGTCTCTGCTTTGAGTTGATGTAGCTGCCGAAGAGGTCACTCTGGTTGTCTTCCATATCAGCACAGCTTAGTCCAACATTTCCCAACGTTCTGTCCCATCTGAGATGGGCTTGGTTCCCCAGCATATGATCAGTAGTGATAATGAAACATTGGACCAGAATTTTGTGAATGAAAACAAAAATCCCCTTATCTTCCGTGGCAGTATGTTTATGAAAATATCAATCATTGTCCAATTGTCTCAGGCGCTTGGCTAAAAATAAGACCAATTGTGGTGTTGTTTCGGTTCTGACTTACTTTCAAGGGAGGATGTGATATGGTTAAAAAATCTAAGGATTTTATGAATAACAAGTTTCAAAATATTTTTCTAGTAGTTATTTTGGTATTTAATTTTTTCCAATCACATTTCATGAGCAATACTTTTAGGTTTAAAGTAGTAGCTGATGAACCTACTTTGCTTGCAGTTAGTTCTATTGTTACGATCGAGTAAAGGCATTCAATCTTGAACTCTTTCAACTGGTTTTTATTTGTATTGGCACACCCCACATAGCATTTCTAAAATTGCTATCTGTAGGAACATAGATGCCCAGAAAAGAACAATGGAAGTGTCTGGGCCAGGGCTTCTCCAACTTTAAAGTGCACCCAAGTCACCTGGGGAACTTGTTAAAATGCAGATTCTGATTTAATAGGTCTGGGATGGAGCCCCTGGGTGATGCAGAGAGTTAACACACTCAGCTACTAACTGAAGGATTAGAAGTTCAAGTCTACCCAGAATCTACTTGTGAAAAATCAGCCATGGAGAATCCTATGGAGCACAGTTCTACTCTGCCACACATGGGGTCGCCATGAGTCGGGGTTGACTTGATGGCAGCTGGTCGGGTGTTGGGTGAGATTCTGCATTTCTCATAGTCTCCCAGGTGTTGCTGATATTGTTGATCTGTGGACCACATTTTGAGAAACAAGGATGCAGATCATATTTCTGTGTTATCTTGCTTCTTTCACTAGTCTGGTAAACAGAACCCCTTGTTGACATGCCTGTCTGCTCCTGAGTTGGCCTGGATGATGTTAAGATTGCCTTGCAATTTTAGATTTTTCTTTCTGAGACAGTTTTCAAATTGAATCCCTGGCTAACCAATATTTAGACAAAATGCAACTGGATGAGAATCTGTGTGCAAAATGTTCCCAGAGATGGACATTGACGTGTAGTTGTAAATTGATGGAGGCTACAGATTTGAAGCCCTAACACCAGAAAAGTGAAAGCCGGAAGAAGTGGGTGGGAAAGGCTTCACATCCAAAAATGCACCAATGCCAGCTGAAGGGGAGTGGTGAGCATGAGCAGAGCTTAACGGGAAGAATGGTCTGAGCTCAAGCAAGGCTCTGGAGGGTAGGGCTTCACAGACCATACTTGTTGTGATGCTTGTAGTCAAATCAAGGCTGTGCTGTGTCAAATTTCACGTTACCTTCCATTTCCATTCTCATGGGGATATGAAAATAGGAGGAGAGACGCCTTCTACAACATAGTCAAGCTCTTTGAAGACTGGCCCACCAAATTGCCAGTTTTAAAGTAGGTTAAATGATTTGTTTACAGAGAGGCTTAAAAGTAAGTACATTGCCCTGCCCTCAGAGTGAGATTTTTATAGCCATCTCTATGTTCATGGCAATAAAACATCTGCTGAATATCTGGCTGTGACTTTTAGTTTTCCCAGAATGCCACATGGCATTGAACTAAGACCCATCCATCTAAGAGGAACATAGGTTTGAATTGTTTCTGTAATAAGACCACATATTGTTGTTCTTCTTAGCTGCTGTTGAGTTGTCCACTGTCTTAGTCATCTAGTGATGCTGTAACAGAAATACCACAAGTGGATGGCTTTAACAAAGATAAGTTTATTGTCTCATAGTCCAGTAGGCTACAAGTCCAAATTCAGAGCATCAGCTCTGGAAGAAGGCTTTCTCTCTCTGTCAGCTCTGGAGGAAGGTCCTTGTGATGCATCAGTCTTCCCTTGGTCTGGGAACATCTCAGCTTAGAAACCTCAGGTCCAAAGGATGCTCTCTGCTCCCAACACTGCTTTCTTGGTGGTATGAGGTCCCCCTGTGTCTCTGCTGGCTTCTCTCTTTTATATCTCAAAAGAGATTGGCTTAAGACACTATCCAATCTTGTATACCTCATCAGTATAACTGCCACTAATCCATCTTTTACATCATAGTGATAGAGTTTACAACACATAAGGAAATCGCATCAGATTATAAAATGGTACACAATCGTATAATACTGGGAATCATGACCCAGCCAAGTTGACAGATATTTTTGGGGGACACAATTCAATCCATGACAGACATTGACTCATGGATAGCCTATGCACAACTGAACCAAATGCTGCCTGATCCTGCACACCCCATGATCAGTTGCAGATCAGACTGTTGTGATACATACAGTTTTCATTGGTTGATTTTTGGAAGTAGCTTGCCAAGTCTTTCTTCCTAGTCCATCTCAGTCTGGACACTTTGCCAAAACTTATTCAGCATCATAGCAACACACAGGCCTCCAATGACAGACAGATGGTAGCAGCACATGAGGTGCATTGACCAGGAATCAAACCCAGGCCTCCTGCATGGAAGGCAAAAATTGTACCACTGAACCACCACTTCCAAGAAGATTGCATATAGAAATAGCTTTGGTGTATGCACTAGGTAGTAAGCATGTAGAATAGTGTTTCTGTAAAACATTTTTGAAAGAAACCTAGAATGACTTCCAGTCCAATTCAGTTGCTGTCTAGTTGATTTCAACTCATGATGGCCTCATGTGAAAAATGACTGATTTTTCAGAAGTAGATTGCCAGAAATGACTTAGATCCTTGATAATCAGTAATTGAGCTCTCACTGAGGATACAGAAGGATGGTTATTAACTTTGTGTGTGCAACCATGAGATGAAGGTTTAAGGGCAAATGATACTATAAGTAAAAAGAAATTGCCATCATATGCTTCAGGTCTCACGGTCATTGTTAATGTGGTGGGGTAGCACTGTCTCAGCCCTGCAACTTTTTCCATGCAATTCATTTTAGAGAAATTCTAAATTCATTTAGAGAAGGAGAAGATGTAGACATTCCCCTAGAAAATTAATTAGACCAGTTAAGATTGATTTGATATAAATGGGTGAACTTATAAAGGGAAATGAAGGGTAGCCTAGAGAGGTAGGGCAAGTAAGAGGATAAAGGGACAGTGATCAGTTCCAAGAAGAAAAGAACATGAATGTATCAGTTGATGGACTTAGGGGTAGACCTCAAACAAGAAGCTCTCAATTGGCTGATTCATCAACCAATGGATTCTGTGTTGGGTGGATTATGGAGAGAGAAAAGGCATGGATTTAGGTCAGTCCCAGTAGGAACCTGGACCAATTAGATGGTAAGAAACTTTTAAATTCTCATCTTGACCTACGATTGTAGGAAATTACTTTAGAAGAGTCAACAATCCCTGTGGGAATTTCTCCATGGGGGTTTTCACTTGAAGAGGTGAGAAATTCAGAACTATCAACAGAATATTCAAAATTATAATTTGTAAACAAAGCCCAAATATAGTGGAGTCCAGGGTGGTATTTCCTTGAATTAATGAATTTTCCTGCACAGTATTTACTCTAATAAACACAAAATTAAAACACACACACACACACACAATCTGTTATAAAGATTGTATGATTGATCTTTTAGTCAATATATTTGTCTTTACAGATTTACCTTATGAGCCACCCAGGAGGTCAGCCTGGACCGGTCATGGCCACCCCACACCCCAGTCAAAAGGTAAGCATTGAATATGCGTACCACAGGTCATGGTAATTGTTGATGGAGTAAATAGTTATTTCTGTAGTTAATCTGATTTTTTAACATGTAGAGGATTTGTCCCATTGACAACAAAACACACCTGTGATTCTTTCTCTGACTTATACCTACCTTCCCAGCAAAAGGAAATAAAGGGTGTAGTGTATTTCAGCGTGGACAAATGAATATTTCATGCAGTGTTTGTGTACAGACGAAATAACTAGTGATTTCCTTAATGTTGGCCATATTCGAAAGTATCCCTGGATTCATTTTATTCTCCTGGTGGTTTTCCTTTATTTATTTTACATTATGATTCACTTTAATCTGTTTTCAGGGCCACTTGATTTTTTTGTTTGTTTTTGTGAAAAGGTGTGGTATACATAAAATTTTAAAATAATATAAAGTACCTTTATTTTGCTACAGTGTTTACCTTACGTTTCACTAGAAAGGACATTTTTCCTTACCCTAAGATTCTTGTTACTATCAAAGCAAGACTATTGTACTAATAACTCAAATAAGTGATGGAATGATTATAAAACAGCCTCAAAGACTAGTGGCCCAATATAAATAATAGCTAATTGTCTTTTTATTTTTGGATTTGCAGCTGCTCAGCCGTCTCCTTCCACAGTACCCAAAACTGAAGACCAGCGTCCTCAGTTAGGTAGGTTCCATGAGCCATCTAGACAGCCATCAGGGATGAAATAGGTTCAGCAGGGTATTTCTAAAATGGGTCCTTTTTTCAGAGTGAAATTAACTTTATCTTGTCTCCTTTATGACTGTTCCACATGTAAAATGGGGACGCAGTCATTAGTCTACTCAATTGAGATGACTTCACATTTTGCTAAAACATTTCCAAAGGCTATGCAGTAAATATGGAATGAAGTATTGTGGTTGCACGTAGGCATCATAAATACCAAGGCTACTTCTTTGTGATCTATGAATTCTTTTAATGTTAGTTGTTACACGATGTACAGAAATCTGCTAGCTTATAACAGAAATGTATTGTCTCACAGTTCTGAAGGCTAGAAGTCCAAATACAGGGTATCAACTGTGTTGATTCCTTTGAAGGCTTTGAGGGAAAATCTTTTCCAGGCCTCTCTCTTAGCTTCTGATGAAAGCTGGTGAGCCTTGGCATTGCTTAGCTTGTAGATGCACCTTCATGTGGCCATTGTCTCTATGTCTCGTGTCTCTCCTCCTTCTATAAGGACATCAGTCTTATAGGATTAGAACCCACCCAACTCCAGAATGAAGCTGAGGCCAAATCCAGCTCTGCCACCAACTAGGAAGCCTCTGGCAACAAACTTCTCTCAAGTCCTATGTGACATCTAATATGCAGAATGGACCTAGGGGATTCGGAGAGAGGTGTTTGTTAGTGAGGGTTCTCTAGAGAAACCGAACTAGTGATATATGTATATATATATAGAGAGAGAGAGAGAGAGAGATTTATTTCAAGGGATTGGCTCACCCAACTATGGGGGCTGGCAAATCCAAAATCCATAGGTTAGGTGACAGGTTGGAGACTCTTGCTGGTTCACAGGGCTGTGGGAGGCTGCCAGTTCCAAAATCTGTAGATCAGCTGGCAGGCTTGAGGCTTCCATAGGCTCCTGTCCCAAGATCCGTAGGTCAGGCAATGGGAAGAGTGCCTGAGAAAGACAGGAAGTTCTGCCAAATTATCTATTTATAGTCTGGAGGCAGACCACATACCTTAAGGAGACTCCCCTTTCAACTGTTTGAATATTACAGTAAAACCTGCGAAAGCTGGAACTTGTGTAAGGCGGAAGCCTGTCAGAGAAGGGAAGGTCAAATATTTTACACTAATAGAGAGAGAGAGAAAAGTAGTAAGACTGCACCCTGTCAAAGGTGGAAAACTTGTGAGACCCAGAAAAACAAGGCAGTCCTGTCAAGTTCCAGCTCTCACAGGTTTCACTGTATATTAGATAACATTATGGAAAGTGATTACATTACATTACACTACATTATGGAACAGCGACTAGTCTAGTGTTTGGCCAAACCACTGGGAATCATGGCCTAGCCAAGCTGACATGTAAAATTAACCATTATCGGGGCGGGGTTGGGGGGCTGTTTCCTCTCCTAAGTCTGGAAACACAACTCAGTCAACATGAGGCCTGAAGTTACATCATACCCAGTCATGATATGTCTTTGGGATTTTGACTTCTTTTCTCTTTGCTGCAGACCCTTATCAGATTCTTGGACCAACAAGTAGCCGCCTTGCAAATCCAGGTGAGATGCTGCTAAGGTTTTTGTTGTAATAAATGTATCTTTTTTTTGGCTATTTGATAGAGAAACTTGTATTGGTGAGAAGTTTCTTTAAACGAAACACATTTTAGTTTTAGGTCTCACTGGATTATTTGCCTAAGTGGAAAAATATGGAGCAGCTTATAAATTAAAATTTTAGCTTCAGAAAATAGCATTACAACCTACTGTAAGCATACAAAATAACTAATATTTTGAAAAGGAGAAACTTAATTGAAACAACAAGACTTCAGCTTTAGCATCATTGTCAATTGTATGTTTCTGAACCTAGATACCAGGACAAAGTGCAGATTCTCAATTGGGTTATTCTTGCCAAACATCGTCACCTGTCCTCAAGTTTCAGTGCCAACTAAATTGTTTTATTTGTTTGTATTCAGATCAGAACCAGCTGTGCTGGCACCAATTTCAGAAATCCACAGCATATGCTGCATATTCTCAACAGCAAATTCAAATGCCAAGATGTCCCAGGCATATTGCAAGTACAAGCTGGAATCTATATTTCATAAACATTGAGGCCAAAATAGGGTTGGGAACCAAAAAGATTCAAATTCAACTGGTGTCCATCCCTACAACAGAATCTATACTTTGAGAAGATGTGATAATGTCATTATAGAGCATCAGCATCTTTGACATCTAAATTTTAGCTAATGTTAAATGATTCAGTAAATATTTTTAAGCAGCTGAGCAGCTAGAGACGAGTGTTTGTTTACTGGTCTACCAGGTCCGGGGCTCAGTAATTATTTGTCCAATAAATGAATGCAGGGATAGCAAGATATAGTCCCTGACCTCAGGGGCCTTACTGTCTGGTGGAGAGATGGACCTATAACTGGGAATTACAACACTGTGTCCAAACCATGAAACCCCCCCAGGTTCTTTCTCTCACATGAGCATCTAGCTGGTAGCCAGGTCTCCTGTATCCTTGGTCCCCTCCTCACAACGGTGCTTAGCTTTCCATTTGCAACTACCACCATAACTGTTCAAAGTAATTATTATGTTTTGAGATCAGTATTATCAGACATCAGGGGCATTGGTGGTTCAGTGGTAGAATTCTCACCTTCCATGCAGCATACCAGGGTTTGCTTCCTGGCCAATGCGCCTCATGCAACCACCACCCATATGTCCATGGAGGCTTGTGTGTTGCTATGATGCTGAACAGGTTTCAGCAGAGCTTCTAAACTAAGGTAGACTAGGAAGAAAGGCCTGGAGATCTACTTCTAAAAATCAGCCAGTAAAAACCCTCTGGGTCACAATGGTCTGAACCACATCTAGTCATGGGGATGGCACAGGACTGGGCAGTGTTGTGTCCCAATGTGCATGGGGTGACCATGGATTGGGGGCCAAGTCCACAGTATCTAACAACAACATATGTATTTGTTGTTGTGTGTTATTGAGGTGATTCCGACTCATAGCGACCCTATAGGACAGAGTAGAACTGCCCCAGAGGGTTTCCAAGGAGTGGCTGGTGGATTTGAACTGCCAACCTTAGGTCAGCAGCTGTAGCTTTTAACCACTGCACCACTAGGACTCTAACATATATATAAGTATATATAAATATATATGTATATATATACATACACATACGTATAAATAAAACCAAACCCAAACCCATTGCCGTCGAGTTGATTCCAACTCATAGCGACCCTATAGGACAGAGTAGAACTGCCCCATAGAGTTTGCAAGGAATGCCTGTTGGATTCAAACTGCCGACCTTTTGCTTAGCAGCTGTAGCACTTAACCACTACGCCACCAGGGTTTCCATGCATATGTATAGTAGTGGTTAAGAGCTCTGGCTGCTAACCAAAAGGTCAGCAGTTTGAATCCACCAGCCACTCCTTGGAAATTCTATGGGGCAGTTCTACTCTGTCCTGTAGGGTTGCTATGAGTCGGAATCAACTAGACAGCAACGGGTATATGTGTATATGTGTGTATATATATACATGCCCATGTTCTCACAGCTCACAGGGGCTGCTTGGCTTGGTTGGAGAGTGGGGCCATAGAGAGTGGCTTGCCTCTAAGCAGAGAACTGACTCACTGGGGCCCCTACCCCTCCCCGTGCCCAGCAGACTGGGATGCACACTGTAAGTAGAGGGGACTAGGCCCCTGCAAACCTGTCACAGGCCCTGAAGAAAATGTCACAGTACATAACAGGTCAGCAACTCTGTCACAGTGAACAAAGAATGCCATTGAGTCCATCGTTCTCAGGCCTGGGGAAAATGGTAGCCTCCAACCTATGATTTGCCGTCAAGTGATTTCAAGATAAGGATTTATTTTATTTCATGTATAATCAACTGGGGTCTCTTCCCATCTGCCCTTAGGCTGTGTATCAGTCATATTTATGTGGCCTTGTCCCTGACACCAGAATGTCTTTTATCTGTCCATAAATGAGAATGCTTCTTCCTGCTTGATTCTTTTTTTTTCCATTCTCTGATAAATAAATCCTTCACCACTTACAATTTCTGCCCTTGCTCTTATTACAGTGCAAACCCTTTTAAATCATTTTAAATGGAAAAATTTACATCATGTAGTATGAATGCATAAGATGATATCAGCATCCCAACATCTCTATTCCAAATATTCTTTTGATGGACCCTTCGGACCATATTTCTCCTACTGGGAAGTGTGTCCTGCATTCTTACATCACAGACAAGCAAGACAGCACCTAGGTGTCCCAATCCGATTGGCTGGGAATTCAGCGTGGCTCCTCAAGGGAGGTCAACATCCAGGAAGAAGCTTGCCCCAATTACGTTCAGTGGCTCCCTTGATCCTAGCTGACTATTCTTTAATGGCGGGCAGGAAAATGCATCCTGTTTCATGCAAGACCAGAGACCACTTACAGGGATGTTCTGCCATTTGTTATGTACGTGGGCATGTTCAGCCATGCAGTGGGAGCCACCAAGCCCCAGCCCGAGGAGGGGACAACCTGGGAGGGACCCACGGAGGCTGTGCAGAAGCCAGACTGGTAGGCGATGGTTCACGTGGTCATCAGGCATGAGAGCCTTGAATCTAGGTCCCAATTCTTGCTGACCTTGGGCAAGTCACTCAGTCTCTTTGAGCCTCAGTTTCTTCATCTCTAGAATGGGCTGCTCTTATGATTGTTGTGGGGATTGAATACACTAATACATGTAAAGTGTTTAGAACAGTACCTGGCACATAGTAAGCTTTCAGTGGATTTCAGCTATTATAATACTACAGAAGACAGCTCCAGCCCAGACGACACCACCATCCCAAGCTTCCGCACAGCCAACATGGTGTTTCCTGCAGGTACTTGCCTTCCATTTGGCATTTCCTGGCTGTAGGAAAGGGGCATACCTTTCTCAAACCTCTAGTTTTCAGCCCAAACAAATCATGACAAGAGTGTTCATGTACTGAGGTCATCCTCATAGTAACCCTGCAAGATGATACAGTTACCCTCACCCCATTTTACAGATGAGGACACCAAGGCAGAGAGAGCTGAGTGAGTTGCCCAAGGTCCCGTCAGTGGCAGAGCCAGTATTCAACCAAGGCAGGGCCAACTCCAAAGCTGGTACTTCCGCCTGCCATCTGCCACGCTCCCTGTTGCTCCACCAGGCCAAGTCTGAGCCACACTGAGCCCCAGGCCGGGCCATTCACCCTGGAACCTCCTGTACCTTGTCCTTAGAATGGAGGAGGGCCCAGGCAGCGCACACAGATTTTTCTGCACCACCCAGCAACGACAGAAAATGGCCCCAAACAACTGCCACCTGAAGGGGCCCTGGGTGCCTGCTGGGCCCCTGCTGCGTTCTCTATGTGTCTGTTCCTGAGCCCGCCGCACGGCTTTAGGGTGCTGCCCGGGATGCGGTTCCACTTAGCCCAGACCTGCTGAGTCACTCTGTAGCTCCCGCTTTTCTTTGTGGTTTGCCAGCCGTTTGGCTTTTTTGTCCTTCTTTGCTCAGGCTGCGTCCTCCTCACAACTGTGTTTCTTTTCCTTTGCCCTTACCCACGTAAGGAGACCACTTTCCTCCTAAAAATTAAACGATTACCTTTGGTCCTCTTCCAGGCCACATTCCACTCCCTTCAGCCTGCCTGGCTGTCCTGGAGAAGGACTGGGCTGCCACCAGCTCCTTCTCTCTGTGGTTGGGGCAGTCAGGGCAGAGCAAGCTAGCAAAGGCCTTTCTTTCTTCTGAAGCCTGGCTTTTTAGTTAATTCCTCTAGGACAGAGCTAGTCACTGCTCACCGACATCTCAGGGACTTATACTAGTGTCCTGGGGCCACTTTGGCAAAATACCTCAAACTGGGTGGCTCATAAGAACAGAAATGTATTGTCTCACAGTTCCGGAGGCCATCAGGCTGAATTTGGGGTGTCAGTGGGGCCATGCTGTCTCTGAAGGCTCTAGGGGAAGATCCTTTCTTGTCTCTCCTAGCTTCTGGTAGCCCCAGGTGTTCCTTAGCTTGGAGCTACAGTTTAACTCCACCTCTACCTACTTGGGGCCCTGGTGGCACAGTAGTTAAGGGTTTGGCTGCTAACCCAAAGGCTGGCAGTTTGAATCCACCAACCACTTCTTTGAAACCCTACAGGGCAGTTCTCCTCTATCCTATAGGGTCGCTATGAATCAGAATCGGCTTGACAGCAACAGGTTTGGTTTTTGGTTTTCTGCCTCCTTAATCACGTGGCCCAATTCCCTCTGTGTGTCTCTCTGTGTCTCTTGTCCCATTTATAGGACATTACTCAGGCTGGATTAGGACGCAGTCTACTCCAGTATGACCTCATGTTAACTGACAACATTTCCAAAGACCCCAATCCCGAACAAGGTCACATTCACAGATAGGGGTGGGTTTAGGACTTCAACATATGTTTTGGGGGCATGCAATTCAATCCATAACAGATGTTACCAAGATGAAGTGGAAAAATCAGTGTGAAGGGTTTTACCAAAGAAAAATGATTCATGAGGTGGAGGTGGCAGTGCTCTTCTGATGAAAAGTCCTGCCTTTTAGGAGCTTCTCTGTTTACTTGTTGGTTTGCCTGGTGACCCACCACGCCATTTTCTAGCTTTCCTAAACCCTAGACACTCTTGCTTCGAATACCTATTCAGTCATCTAAAGGCACCTTATCACACATTAAATGTTATTATTTTAGCAGTAAAACAAGATTTTAATGAATTTTCTTTTGCAATTATTTGGCCATGTGTAACTAATTTATAATCAACTCTAATTTCTCAGCCACCATTAAGCAGGAGGCCCTGGGTGGTACAACTGGTTAATGCATTCAGCTGCTAACCCAAAGGTTGGCGGTTCAGGTCCACCCAGAGGCATTTCAGAAGAAAGACTTGGTGATCTACTTCCAAAAAACCAGCCATTGAAAACCTTGTGGAGCACAGTTCTATTCTGACACGCATGGGGTCGCCATGAGTTGGAGTCAACTCAGCAGCAGCGGCAACTGATTTTTGAGAATTCATGCACAGGAGAAAATCCGCGAGAATTCTTGTACAGGGAGAAAACTTATAAACCATTTGCAAATGTAATGAATTTTGTTGTGAATACAAAATTTAACAATTAATGAGGTTGATGTAATATTACATTTTACTGATGTTCAGTTAAATACTCATTGATTTTGAATTTACAGTTTTGTTCTCGTGTCTGGAAGTTGATAACCTCTGCTTACAATTCTCTTATCTCCATAGACCTTTGAAATGTTCACCAACTTGATCCCTGGGTCTTCAGGGCTAAGGGGTAAAATGGTCTAGTGAGAGATTAACTCATCCATCCTTTGAGTTTTGAGTTTCCAGTCACAAATTTAGTCCCCAATATTCTAGTTCTTCACACAGGAGAAATAGGAGGTCACTTTTCTCCCCTGGTTCTCTCTCCTACACATATTTATAAGGGAAAGGGGGTGAGGGAGAAATTCCTAAGAGGCAATGCCAAGGTTTTGAACAGATACCAAGTGCTTTTTTTTGGCTGTTTGGTGAGGTCTGTTTATTTATACAGAATTACTCTCTCTATAGGAGGAAGCTGACGCTGAATATTTATTTTCAAACAACTGTATGTATTTATACTGAAGCCTACGTTAGACTGTTAAATCAAAAATCCATGTTTTTTCCTATTCCCAGGTCAGAAATGGAATTTTTTTCAAGTTGTGATCCTTTAGTTGCAATATGCATACTAAAACCATATGGTTTCTCATACCGTTCTTTGTATTTTTTTTTAAACATGCATATTAATGAAAAGTTGGAAGCAACAAAACTTGATTGAGAGCAGTTTGAATACATTCCAAAAAAGCAAAGGCTTCCATTGCAATGAACTACAAGCTGTTAATACATCTCAAATGTGCTGCTAGACTGAAAATGATCGTTTTCTGTAACATAGTCAGAAAAGGCTGGCCTTTCTCACAATGCTGTTGTATGGATGAATTCACAAACATATCCATTCCTGTGTAGCCAAAGTGGAAACAAGGATTTATGAGTTGGACAATTGATATAGGGAGCTAGTGGGAAGGATTGAGAAAGAAACAAATGTATCATTGATTTTTACATCTATTCTTGATAGTTACCGGTTAAAGTTAGTTGAATCATTTGGGAGGGAAGATCTGCCTCGCCTCATTTTTAAAGCTTCTAGAATCTGTTCAACACAGCTTAGCTTTTCTCTTCGTTTGGGAGCCATAAATCATCTTAAAGCGTTGTAACATAATTGCTGGAATGATGTGCCTGGATTTTCTCTGAATTTAATAAAACATAAAAGCCGTATCTGTGTGCCCGTGGCATCAGGACAGTTCTGGCTCTGTAGACCAGCTAGATGAGCGCTCTTTGACCAAATCAGAGTCTCATTCGACTCCCCCAAGAGGACTTGCAATCTCTCCTTGTTGCAGTTTTTCTTTTGGGAACTGCTGCTTAACACAATTGGCATTGCAACGCCAGGGCAACGTGTGGATTTCCGTTACGATGCATTTGCCTAAATACTGGAAATGGGTGATCTGGTTTGAAAAAGAGCCAACCTTTTTTCTAAACTTCCTCATTTTGAGTGGGTTAATTCTGTTCTAGGAAAAGTTTTGACAGAATTGCCTGCTGAGCGCCAGCGAAATGTTATGTTAGAAATAACGGTGTTTACTTCCATTCTCTATTTTTTTTTCCATAAACTTTTAAGGTTCATTTCCTAAATCTAACTTTTATTATGTTACTTGACCTAGCCAACATACGTGCCATTAAGTCATTATTGCCATCCATACAATGGCACTTTCTGCCTCACAAAAATAGGAAAAATTCACCCCCCTCCCCATCCCCAAAACACCAGGTTGGCCTGGCTTTTCTTTTAAGGAAATCAGGGATGGAAGGAGCCAACCTGAACTTTGCCCCTAGAATTCTTCTGCATTCCATAAAGGCCTTGGATCTGTTAGCTGAGCCTGGTTGTTGTCAGGAGTCATCATCTAAGTTCATGTTCCCTAGATACAAAAGGAAAAGAAAAAAAAAAAAACAGTTGCCGTTGAGTCGATTGACTGTGACTCGTGGTGACCCCATGTGTTTCAGAGTAGAACTGTGCTCCATTGGGCTTTCAAGGCTGGCACCTTTTCAAAGCAGATCTCCAGGCCTTTCTTCCAAGGCACTTCTGGGTAGATTCAAACCACCAATCTTTCAGTTAGTAGTGAAGTACTTAAGTGTTTATGCCACTCAGGGATTCCTCCCTAGATACAAAGATTGTGGTAAAGATACTTGAGTAAGGGATGAACTAAGGGTGTGTTCTCGGGAGAGAGGGAGTGAGGGAGCCGGATAGGGCAAAGGAAAAGGGTAAGAAAGCTTGTGTCCTCAGCTAGAGCCTTGCTTCAGCCTGATCCCACGGGGAGCTCTGGAGCGTGAATGGTACCACAGAGTTGGTCTCGCCTGGCCTGAGGTACCCTGTGTCAGACAGACCGTTTCCGGCTGTGGGCGAGGCAGCTCTGGCTCAGCCGAGGGCAGTTCTCCACAGAAGAGGGCAGCTATAGGGCAAGAACAGCCAACACTCCCAGCAGCTGAGGGATATGAGTGCTGAGGAAAAACAAACACCAGTGGTTGTCAGGTGGACCCTGACTCATGGCTACTCCATGTGTGTCAGAGTAGAACTGTGCTCCATAGGGTTCTCAATGGCTGATTTTTCAGAGGTAGGTCACCAGGCCTTTCTTCCGAGGTGCCTCTGGGTGGATTCAGACCTCCATCCTTTCGGTTAGTAGTCAAGCACTTGACTGTTTGCCCCACCTAAGTAAGGGATGAGTGTCTAGCCTGGCAAAGGAGGTCTGGGTGGGACCCCAGTAGCACCCAATTCCGTGAGTGATGGAAGCACGCCGTCACCTCAGACTCTCTTCTCACTGGCCTGTTTTTCTCCTTTCCTGGCCTCATTAGGGAGTGGACAGATCCAGCTTTGGCAGTTCCTCCTGGAGCTCCTGTCAGACAGCTCAAACTCTAACTGCATCACCTGGGAGGGCACCAACGGGGAGTTCAAGATGACAGACCCTGATGAGGTTGCCCGGCGTTGGGGAGAACGGAAAAGCAAACCCAATATGAACTACGATAAGCTCAGCCGTGCCCTCCGTTACTACTATGACAAAAACATCATGACCAAAGTCCACGGGAAGCGCTATGCCTACAAGTTTGACTTTCACGGAATCGCCCAGGCCCTCCAGCCCCACCCTCCAGAATCTTCTCTGTACAAGTACCCCTCAGATCTCCCTTACATGGGCTCCTATCACACCCACTCACAGAAGATGAACTTTGTGGCTCCCCATCCCCCAGCTCTACCAGTGACATCTTCTAGTTTTTTTGCTGCCCCAAACCCTTACTGGAATTCACCAACTGGAGGTATATACCCTAACACTCGGCTCCCAGCCAGCCATATGCCTTCTCATCTGGGCACTTACTACTAGAGACCTAACAGAGGCCTTTCCCAACAACATACAGTCACCAATGAACTGCCACAAACTCTATTGGAGAACAAGAATCAAAAGTGCCTCAAAAGGAATGGAAAGAATGGAAAAGGTTGACTGGGGCTGGGGAAGGACACCAGGGAAGAAATCCCAAAGACTCTTAGAGGGTGGGAATTATTAAAGTATTACTACAGAAATAAAGAGAAGACTAAAAAAATGTAATGTATATGGACATATATTCTGTGGACCAACCTTGTAGAAGACATTTTAAGGAGAAGCAAGACGTCATAAGGACAAAGTGCCAAAGAAAGCGGTCTTAAGACATGTATAAACTTTAGAGTAGCATTTGGAATCCTGCGAATTCAAACTGGGATTCAACTCAAGCAATAGAGATAACACAGTTCTGACTTCACGTTACCATTTATAGTGTCATTTTTAGGAAAACTACCTGTATTTAAAAATAGGAACATATCAGAAAAAAAAGAGAGAGACGGTGGCTTCTCAAAGGGACATTGATATGGAACTCATTGGCACTTGCTGTGTTGGTTGGAATCAGATTCTTTCCATTTGATGGAGAGCTCTCAGCTCTCTCAAACTGTGAAGATGACCCAAAGTTTCCGACTCCTTTACAGTATGTTACAGGAGCTGTGAGCCAAATGGTGGGACACAGAATGTGGATGGAGAGCGAGTGTGTAATTGTAGATGAAGGCTGGAGGAGGGAGAAGAGGAGAAAGCAGAGAAGGAGGTGGCAAGGACTAGGAAAAGACCTTCTCAAGCAGTAAAGACTGGATTTAGGACAATTTGGGACTGTGGAGAATGAGTCACGGGGACGTGGGGTTTAATGCGGTCAGTGTTATACCAAACCCAGTGTTGTAAGAAAGGACACAGCGCCATGGAGGAAGAGAAAGTAGTAGAATTCAGAAACAAAAATATGCATCTCTTTCTTTGTGTGTTTGTCAAAAGAAAATTGTAACTGGAATTGTCTGATATTTAAAAGAAACATTCAGGACCTCATCATTACATGGGGGCTTTGTTCACCAGGGTAAGGTAAGAGGTGGCCTTCTCGGCTACCATAATCAGAAATCACGCAGGCATTTGGGTGAGGCGCGCTCCAGTTTTCCTTTTCGAGTCGCGAACGCTGTGCGTTTGTCAGAATGAAGTATACAAGTCAATGTGTTTTGTTCTGTTTTTTTTTTCCTTTTTATATAATAATTATATAACTTATGCATTTATACACTACGAGTTGATCTCGGCCAACCAAAGACACACCACAAAAGAGACAATCAATGATACAATGTGGCCTTGAATTTAAACTCTGTATGCTTAATGTTTACAATATGAAGTTATTAGATCTTAGAATGCAGAATGTATGTAATAAAATAAGCTTGGCCTAGCATGGCAAATCAGATTTACCCAGAAGTCTGCGTTTGCACTTTCTTAGTGACTAAACTTGCCTAATAGAACTTTGTCCTGAATGTTGTGGCTTTTGTGTTATAATTTTACTTTGTGATTCTTTCTCAACTGGGATGCTTAGTACCCAAACAGTGTTGGCCTCAGCAGGCACTTTATGTCCACAGTCTCATTTCTAGCACCTTTTGGAACGGAAGGACCAAAGGTTTCATTTTGGAGTTATGCCTAGAGTGGAACCGCCACCATCACCAGTTGCCATCATGTCAGTTCGGACTCATGGTGACCCCATGTGTGTCAGAGTAGAACTGTGTTCCGTAGGTTTCAATGGCTGATTTTCTTTTTTTTTGGTAAGGAGATTGCCAGGCCTTTCTTCTGAGGCACTTCTGGGTAGACTCAAACCTCCAGCTTTTTGGTTAGCAGCCAAGCGTGTTAACCATTTGCACCACTCAGGAACCCCCCAGGAATGGAAAGAGCCCCCAAAACTGAAATCAGGTTGTAATTGAGAAATTCCAGACCAACAACCAGTCACAAATCACCCTTGATTCCGGCCATGATCATACAATATTTGTTGAGCGGTAGACAAGCTATTGCTCTTAATGCAGTCTGTATTATTATTGGCAAATAAAGTGTCACAGATAGCTGCAATTTCTCACTTTAAAGAAACAAGGGGCAGCTTCTAGATTTGCCTCTTGGTTTTTTTCTTTCAGAGGCTCTCACCAAATAAACTGTTGCCACGATCTTCCTGCAGCAGAAGAATTTGAGTATCATGACTTTTGATGTACCAGCCTGGAGCCTGTCAAGTGTCAGCTCCCCTTTGCGGACACTGTTTGTTTCTATGATCTAAAGTCAGTTTCCCTTCACCATCCTTTCTCTTAACAATGCATCACAAATGCTGCCATCCCTGGCCCACCAAATCAGACCAAACCCATTGCTGCCAAGTGGATTCCAATGCATAGCGACCCTATAGGACAGAGTAGAACTGCCCCGTAGGGTTTCCAAGGCTGTAAAGCCTATGGAAGCAGATGCCACATCTTTCTTGCATGGAGCAGCTGGTAGGATCAAACCACCGACCTTATGGTTAGTAGCCAAGTGCTTTAGCCTCTGTGCCACCAAGGCTCCTAATCTTGGCCCCCAAGGAAGGCAATTCTAGAGGTTTAATTCAAGGCATCCGTAGGCTGGAGCAAGACTAAGCAACTTAGCTTGACTCGGTTTCTGAATTGGCCCATTTTATAGCTGTTTCAAGGAGCTGGTGGCACAATGGTTAAAGCACTCAGCTGCTAACCAAAAGGTTGGCTGTTGGAACCCACCAGCTCCTGCATGGGAGAAAGATACGGCAATCTGCTTCCATAAGGATTTACAGCCTTGGAAACCCTATGGGGCAGTTCTACTCTATCCTTACAGGGTTGCTATGAGTAGGAGTCGACTCAATGGCAATGGGATTGTTTTTTGTGGGGTATAGCTGTTTCAGGGCTTGTTGTATATGTTGTAATCCTTTTTTGCTATAATTAAATGAAATTGCCAAACCTCTGCACTATGGCTAGTTTGGCAATGGTCTTCAAAGTCGGCAGGATCCTATTACCAAAGCTTCAGATGCTCCACATTACTGGGTGGGATTGAAAGGCGTCTTACCATTACTCATTCAGCAGCAGCCTGGGAAAAGATCTTGAAGTGCCTGTATCGCCTTAAAAAATAAATAAAATAAAAGCTGGCAGCTAGGGTGACCCAAAGTGTTCTAATAGAGAAGGTCAGTCATTTTTTTTTTTTTTATTTTGGAATGTAAAGAAAAGGCACACCTATGTACTGCATATAAATATGTTTCCTTGGATAATCACTCTATTCTATTCTTTCAAGGGTGCATCATGAACAAAATAATAAAAGCAAGATATGATTATCACATTTAGTTTTTACAGATATCTTCAGTTAGGTCCCCCTCCGCCCCGAACCCAGGTCATTAGGAAGCTGTATGACACACATCAGCAACTGGGATCTTTTTGGATAACATGATAATGCTGAGTTCCCCAAATATATAATTCTTAATCTCTGCCTTAAAATAACAGTAACTCCTGCACTGTTACAATCTAATTCCAAATCACTCTCCAGTTCGTTCTCAGCATGCCAAGACCCCCTTCTTTCTCTGCATCTCTCCATCCCTCAGTTTACCTTGATGAATGCTCATGATCTTCGCAGAATCTCACTCCTGCTGGTGAGAGACTTGCCCTCTCTTCTTGTCTTAAATAGTCTTTGGCGCTTCGTTCTTGCTCAAATCTCTGTGTAAGTCTGTCTGTCTTAGTCATCTAGTGCTGCTCCAACAGAAATACCACAAGTGGATGGTTTTAACAAAGAGAAATTTATTCTCTCACAGTCCAGTAGACTACAAGTCCAAATTCAGGGCATCAGCTCCAGGGGAACACTTTCTCCATCGGCTCTGGAGGAAAGTCCATGTCATCTGTCTTCCTTTGGTCTGGGATCGTCTCTGCCCAGGAACCTCAGGTCCAAAGGACGCGCTCTGCTCCCAGCACTGCTTTCTTGGTGTTATGAGGTTCCCATGTATCTCTGCTCGCTTCTCTCTTTTATATCTCAAAAGAGATTGCATTAAGACACTAATCTTGTCAACCTCATCAGTGTAACCTCATCACAGTGATAGAATTTACAACACATGAGGAGATCACATATAATCTCATCATAGTGGTAGCGTTTACAACACATAAGGAAATCACATCAGCGAACACAATCATACAGTACTTGGGAATCATGACCTAGCCAAGTTGCTACACACATTTTTTGAGGGACACAATTCAATCCATGACATTGTCTTAGTTACCTTGTGCTGCTGTGACACAGTCAGTACTTTAAAGAACAGAAATTTATTTTCTCACAGTTCAGGAGGCTAGAAGTCCGAAACAGGGTCTCGACTATGTGGGCCTCTCTCCTAGTTTCTGGTGTCTGCCAACAATCCTTGACATTCTTTCCTTGTAGATTATACTCACATGTCATCTGTCTCCCCCACCCCCACCCTTGGGTATGTGTATGTGTGTGAGTTTATGTGTGTGTGTGTGTGTGCGTGTGTGTGTGTGTGTGTGTGTGT